GCTAGCACTTGCTCCAACTTTGACATTGATTCCAATACAAATTCCAGCCATTCACTACTTCATTATGCATCTTGGAGTGGCAGTATATTGCTAGTGAAAGCATTAGAAAAATATAATATCAATTGTACAGTCAATAATGTTGCTATGTCCCTAGTACATCATGCTGCCAGGTCAGGCTCTACTAGTGCATTAAGCTATATCACACTTCAGTATTATCTCACTAATAATGATATTGATACTTATGGCCGTTCACCACTAGTCTACTGCTGCCAAGCAGGCAGTATTAATTCTGTTAAATATGTTATTAATAATCATATAACAGTGATCCTAATATCACTGACTGATAAAGATGGCATGACATGTTTTCATATTTCTTGTCGTAATGGCCATATTAATGTCACTCAATATCTCATTGAGGTACAGCATTGTGATATTAATAAAACAGATAAAGTAGGACGCATGTTAGTACATCATGCTGCATGGAGTGGTAACTTGATTTAGTTCAGTACCTTAGGCTTATTTACCAAACAAGGTTTGTCTCCTACTGCAGTTGATAAGAATGGCCGCACTGCTTTACATTATGCCTCTCTGTCTCTTAACTTATCACTTGCTATATGGAATTGATAACTACCTATCAGTTAGATCCTCATCAAGCTGACAGTAATGGCAAGCTACCAATTCATTATGCTGCTGAATCTGGGGATATATTACTACTGGAATCATATATGAAGGATTATAAGTGTAGTTTGATCCTAACAGATAAAAGTCGTTGGAATATATTTCATTATTCATCATTTGAAGGTCATACTCATTTTATTAAGCATATCACCAGTCAGTATCCTGAATACATTGGTTTACTACAATCTATTAACAGAAAGGGACAAGTACCATTGCATTATGCTCGTAAGAGTGGTAATATTCAATTGGTGACGTTTCTAAAAGATGCCATAAAGAGTGATGCTAAAGAGAAAGCAAGTGATAATTCTATTATTTTGTCGTGAAGTAACTTTATCACTATGCATTGATTTGCGGCGCTAAAATATCATTTCCGCCATTTTAATCATTAGATCTGTTCGTCAATAATAAAGGCTGGTTCAAGGTAATTTTATGCACGCTGGCTCTAGTTCCCATTGTCTTTAAAGCACTGGAAAATGCTGAAATAGAGGCTGAAATGATTGTCAGGTGAGTTGAATAACTTTCTTAAGACACTTAGCAGTAATATGAGACATCAGGGCTTAAAGAATTCTCTAATTCCAGCCATGAGGGGGGGCGGGTGCTGAAGCCCCTTTTTAGTCGGGCCATATTGAGCAAGGGAGTTTTTGTAACTTCAACCCATTATACATATGTAAATTATTATAATCAAGCTATGTTTTATGGTACGTTGCCTCTTTCCTGAGGAAAAAGAATTAACTTAATAGAGGATATGCGTGCTAAGTATATTCATTGCAAAATAAATGTATTCATTGCATACCGTAATAACTTTCAAGAAAAAAAATTAGTTCGTTGGATGTCAACTTTCCATTGGCAGCAATGGAGAAATGATAGAAAGAGGCTTGGTACCAAGAAACCGCTCTATATTTCTTGACAGCAATCTTTCAGGTGACTAATAGACCCCATTAGACCCTCAGGATGCTTTCTAAGCTTCCGAAAAAGGCCTCAAGAAGGTAGCAAGGCAAGAAAATGTGTTTTCCCCCATTGAACTCTTAATAAACTTGACGTCCAACATGGTGGCTAATTTACTGTGTGGGTTGGATATACGGTACTAAAAAGCTATGAATATACTTAGCACGCATATCCTCTATTCTATTCAGTGATGTAAATGTACAGTATTCTGTGATTTGATCCATACTAGTGTTTCAGTGGTAATTGTAGCATACCGTATAGTGCTTTATTTTCGAGGAGCTAAACTTTTGTTATTTTCGCGGTTAGCATGAAACTGCGAAATTAAAGATCTGCTAAAATTTCAATTGCCATTAAAGGTGTGGCACTAACATTGTGAATCCGCAAAAGTTATTTCTGCGGAAAAATGATTTTTATCAATCCGCAAAATTTTAGCTCCGCAAAATTAAAGCGCTATATGGTAACTAGGTACAGATGTTGTTTATTGTCAATGTATAGTAAAAACATTTCAGTTCCATTAGAAACAATAATTATTGGATATAGGCATTGAAGCACAATACTTATCAAAAACAATATCACTAGCATCTCCCTTTTATATGATAATTCCCTTTCCATGTTTTGATGTAATTTAAATGACTTGCTTTAACTCCCTCTCTTAATTTATGTTATGTGCTTTTTGGTAACCTCAATACTGTTATCAGTTAGTGCATGAAGGTATAAAATACATTTTTAACTAAGCTGTACAATCTACTTCTTATAATAACAAGAGTAGATAATAATTGGAGGAGAGTGTCCTACTGTGCAGTACCCCCTGCTTCATCACCGCATAAAACTGAAAAGTCACATTCCGGTTATTTTTGTATTTTTTGAGTAGTTATTCGAAAATAACTAGCAATAACTACAACTACTCAAATAAAATGTGGAAATACCCGGACGGAATGTGACTCTTCAATTCTACGTGGTGATGATTTCATTATCTGCTCTTAATAATATGTCATTATCAAATATAGATCCTTTCTAACCGAATTTGTTGTAAATTTGTCATTTTATTATTACATGAATAATAACAATTATAATAATGATAATAATAATTATTATTATTATTATTATACCCAATCTGCTTTTAATTGATGTGGATGATCAAGCAGAGCCTATAATTATTCTCTTTCTTTTTAGTTTTTTAAATTTTTGTCGTCAAAACATCATCTATCATAAGGAATAGGTTTGTGTTTTTACAATCCAAAGTAAAATTCTCTATAAGGATTTAAACCATAAATTATTGGCCTTGCCCACGCTTTGCATAGATATAGTCGTGTTGTTCATGCATGATCGTTTTGCTGTTTATATAAGGGCACTTGTTTTTACTTTTGCATGCTATAGCTATAGCAGAGAAATGTCCTTGCTGACAGTGGTTGCCTTCTTGTTGAGTGTCAGTGAAGTTACTAGTCAATGTCCACCTTCCTCAGGTAAAACACTGGATGTGTATGATAGCAACTGTATAGGTTTTTAATTTAATAGGTATTTACCTGATGCATAATGGAGATTGCTATCCTAATGGATCATATTTTTATGATGATGACATTAGACCAGAACAACTTAAATGTACATTACCTGGTTTTACTCTAAATGGTGGAGAGTGGGTTACTCCTAATGGCTCATCCATATATTGCAGTACTGATCCTCTTCGTTGTGATGTTGTATCTGCACCTAATGCAACAATCAGTCTTTACATACCTACTGGCCAAGATATATCCCCATCTGATGATGGATGGTATAAGTGTTGTCTACCTACTAGTTGTTCAGATACAAGCACTAACATCATTTTTGCTAATATATTTAGTAAGTGTTTTCTCATTGATTAATACCAGTACAAAATATGCTCCTTATGCAGGATGGGGACAAATTGAAGATACTAGAGTTGACCTTCCTTCAGATGTTACAGTTCTACCTCAAACATATACACTACATGCCATTAAAATTGGCCATCAAAACCAACTCAATACAAATTATGCTGATTGGTACTACTATAATGAGTCTAGTGGTACTAGTACTAAACTCTGCAGAGGATATAATGATGAGTACAGTTGTAGTATTGGCAATGGAATGAAAGTAAATTACGGCAATGGGAGATATGATTATACTCTTACTCTTACTTGGAATGAAGAGAATATTACTAGTGGGGTATCAAGTAACTACTATAATCGTGTATATATGTTTCATTTAGAAGTTGGTCTTGCTACAAGATATCGTTACATTACAGTCAAAGGTAACCATCTATCACATTCATAATTATGAATCCTTCATATCACATATAGTTCCGGCCACTGCTCCCTCTTCTCTTACTGTGGTCAACAAGACAGCTACCACTATCACTGTCAGTTGGACCGCACTTGATTCATCTGATGCTGATGGATATGTAGTCAACCTCACTGACTCAGACACTGTGCAGACAGTACAGGTGGAGGGAAATAGTATTAATACAGTCACACTGAATGGACTCAGAGGAGGGACAACTTATAGCATCACAGTCAGAGCTTATAAAGAATTACTGGGACCTGCTAGTAGTGCAATCAGTGTATTCATTCAATGTCATGAAGAAGGTACATGTATTTTGATTTTAATTGGAGTTTAAGCACCTAGGTTAAACGAAGTTAAAGGGACACGTTCACGGAAATAGAATGCACACGTTACTGTAGAGGAAGTAAACATTAAATTGGGCGTGCAACAGATCATTAATTAATAGTTATGACACGTGTTTAGACACGTGTAGAGAGTAGAGACAGCAATCAGTCGCAGAACCAGGAGTAGGCATCTGTAGAACACTTCTCTCGAACAGAATTAGCTCTTTTGCCACCCCAAGATACTCTTTTTAGTGAAGAAACACCAGGAATATTTACAAGTAGCCACTCGAGTAGCCATTTTGCCTTAATTATTAGGGGCGCGGCCGCACATTATGAATAGTTATCAACACTAAACGTCATCATTAATGATGTCATCTTGAAAAACAGGCCAGTTTTTCAAGATGACGTGCTTCCGTGCGTGTGTCCCTTTAATATCCATGAACTGATTGCCACGTGGCTAGGGTTGGTCTGCAGGCGTGGCTTTGCTGTTAGCACATTGCGTTGCTTTTGTTGCAATCACACTGCTGGCTGCTGGCTGCTCTGAGTATTATTGGCTGCTGGCTGCTCTGAGTATTAGTGGCTGCTGGCTGCTCTGAGTATTATTGGCTGCTGGCTGCTCTGAGTATTATTGGCTGCTGGCTGCTCTGAGTATTATTGGCTGCTGGCTGCTCTGAGTATTATTGGCTGCTCTGTGTGTTATTGTTTCTTTGTCTCTCCCTTCAATCTCTCTTTCGCCTCCTGAGCTTTCTGTTCCTAATGAAGTTGGCTTTGAGTCTATCCCAGACAATCACGGAGGAGCCCTCCTCGGTATCCCAGAGTGGCAATTCAGCGTCACTGGACGAGCTGCGGGATCTGATGCTCGCCATTTCTAGCCAGCTCAACTCTCATCATGCACTACTGCCCTACACTGCTGCCGTTTCTATTGCTCCCAATAGGTCCGTGCTGCCTCTAAGGCCGTCTTCCTCTCTGCCAGGAGACCAGCATCTGCTGCAGCTGCGGTTCATTTCACTATCCGCACCTGTGTCAGCAGTCTAACCACAACCTTCCTACCTCCTCCAACCGCAGTATCATCACTCAGACTGGGTGCT